AGGAGAAACAATTTAAAGACAGAATTTAAAAGGGGAAATCAAAGAGCTGTAAGGAAAGAGTTTAACTTACACAAGAAAGGACTTGTGTCTTTGCTGATGGATCATTTGGTCATGAGCGGTCCTCAAGTATCTCTGGTCCTTTAATAGCCAGACATCTAAAGTGGTGTTCTTTACCTTGTGTTGCTGAAACTTCTGGAGTTTTGAGTAAGGTGTATAAAGAGTATATTTTGATCATATTCCTACACCAAAGGCCATCAAGAAAACAATGTTTAACATGCTGTTGATATAATTTTATCAGTGTGGCTATATCTTAATGGAGTTTCATTTGGTTTCTGATCATTTTCTGGATAATTTTTGCCATTCAGAAAGGAGACATTTAATATATAATATGATGAATATATGATAATATATAACATGGTGAAAGGGAAAAACTAGCTCCCAATATATGCATTTCTATTTCTTCAGTACTCCAACTAAAAATTTAAGAGAGCCTGTTCAGGAGTGCTAACCAGGCAGTGGCTCTCCCTTCTGGACTCCATGCAGTTAACAAATCTCGTTTCTAATAGAAATGTATACATGCGTGCGTGTGCCACACACACGCCCCTAGGTAAAGACTTTTTTGTTTTTTTTTTTTTTTTTTTTTGAGACAGAGTCTCACTCTGTTGTCCTAGGTAGAATGCTGTGGCATCACAGCTCATAGCAACCTCAAACTCTTGAGCTCAAGTGCTTCTCTTGCCTCTGACTCCCCAGCACCTGGGACTACAGGCTCCCACCACAACAGCCAGCTAGTTTTTCTATTTTTAGTAGAGACGGCGTCTCACTGTTGCTCAGGCTGGTCTCAAACCCCTGAAGTCACTTGATTTACCCACCTTGGGCTCCCAGACTGCTGAGATTACAGGCATGAGCCACCATGCCTGGCCTGTGTAAGGACTTTTTTTTTAGCTAAGAACATTTTTATTACCAGTCCCCTTTTTCATTCTGTTTCTGGTGATCTCAGGGCACTGAATAATAGTTCCTTTTCACAAAATTCTTGGGGACCTCTTCATAATACTTTAGCTAAGCATTATGGTCCCCTGATGAAATGTACTAAATAGAAGCAACTTTTCAAATGCTGTCAAGAATTCATACAATCTGTCCTTTACAATAAAACACCTCTGCCATTGTTATATGCCTAGCATACTTCTATTTGTACTAGCATGGGAACCTGTCCATGGTGTAGTGTTACGTGTAAGTGCAAGTTGCCTGACAGCAGGATGCACATAATTTTTACTTTTTCATATGTTTCACTTATTCATCCAATAAACTGTTTAAAAATGTATCAGTCTATATAGCATACCAGTTTCCCACAGCTGGCAGCCTTTTACATTTTATTTTTTCTATTGGAATTTCTTTTCTGTTTTACTGTGTTGCCCAGGCTGGAGGCTGTGTCGTCAGCCTAGTTCACAGCAACCTCAGACTCCTGGGTTCAGTCAGTTCTTCTGCTTCGTGCTTCTGAGTAGCTGGGACTGGGCTATACATGCCTGCCTCAATGCCTGCTAGCCTTTTTTAATTTTTAGTAGAGATGGGGTCTTATTCTTGCTCAGGCTAATTTTTAGCTCTTACGCTCAAGTGATCCTCCCACTTCGGCCTCCCAGAGTGTGAGGTTATTTATGCTTTTAGAACTTAACTGAAATATAATCTATGAAGCCCTACCTGACTTCCCAGGCATAAACGGGCTTTCTCCTAAGCATCAGGGGTCCCCTTTCCAGACATAGCATTGTCTTGTATGAATTTATTTGTGTATCTGTTCTGGATGGTGAACTCTCACCATCCTCCCCAGTTCTGGCAGGTAACTGACCTCAACTGTACAGAAGAATGACTCTTTCTTACAATGTGTTGCTCTAGGCTATAGGTTGATATGCACAGAGCATTTTGAGGCTGTTTTTATCCTGAGGTTTAATAAAAGTAACATGGAGTATATTTTATGATCTGAAGTCTTTAATTTTTATCCATGTGATTACTGAGGTATTTTTGAACAGCTTTATTAAGGGCTAATTTACATACCATAAAGTTCATTCATTTTAAGTATACAATTCAATGATTTTTTTTTCAGTTAATTCACAGTTATACAGTCATCCCTGTAGTCCAATTTTAGAACAATTTTATTACCCCAAGAAGATCTTAACTGAGGTATTTTAAATTGTTACCAGAACTTTCCAGAAACTTCTGTGTGGTGAGTTACACAGGATGGCGTCAAAATTTGGCTCTACATTGACTTGGGCACACCGTGCCTAAAGGCAGGCCTAGATACTTAGAGGTGCTGCATCCTAAAAGGATGATGTAGGCTGACAGTAAGGGGCACTGCCTGCCCTTCAGAAAAGCTGCTCTGTGCTGGGTCCATCGTATATATTATTTGATTTGAGATTCAGAATATAACATCCTGTAATGTAGACATCTTCATGTAATACACAAGGACTCCATGGAGGAAGATAAGAACTGACTCAATATCACACCACTAGTAAATACAGCTTTGGCCTGACTGCATACCAACTTACCTTCAGTGTTCAGAAGCTATGGCCAGGTTTGGTAGCTAACACCTGTAATCCCAGTACTCTGGAAAGCTGAGCAATAGTGAAGGTCCATCTCTACTAGAAATAGAAAAACTAGCCGGGCATGGTGGCAGGCACCTGTAGTATCAGCTACTCGGGAGGCTGAGGCAAGAGGATCACTTAAGCTGAGAAGTGTGAGGTTGCTGTGAGCTGTGATGCCATAGCACTCAACCCAGGGTGCCAGAGTGAGACTCTGTCTCAAAAAGCAAAAACAAACAAAAAAAATTCAGTAGCTATGTATTCAGCAATTATTGTGTGCTTCTACGAAAAGGAAAATCTTAGGAAATGCATGAGCAAATCTGAAGAATTATTATTTAATTTGAGAAGAGAAAATGTGACTATTGAAAGAAGAAACGAAATCAGCTTTTTCTTTGATTTGGTTCTACATCTGTAGAGATTTGGGTTAAGAAGCCCAGTGGGCATGTTTTGAATTGGGTCAAGCAAACTTAGAAAAGAGGATAGGAGGACCATGTTGTAAAACCAATGAAATACTGAGAATTTCTGATTAGGTTAGCTGTGGGGATTTTTCTTTTTAAGTCTTACATGTCCTGTAATGTGGACATCTTCTTCATGTAATACACAAGGACTCCATGGGGGAAGATAAGGAGCTGACTCAACGTGCCAGTCTCTATCAACGCAATGGTCAATCACATTAGTTAGAATATTGGTTTAGGTTCTGTAACATAGATATAGTAGTGGTTTCACCAAAAAAAAAAAAAAAAAAAAAAAATCTCTCAGATAAAAAGCTTGGTACTGGTATAGTAGCTCAGCATTCATTGGGGCTCCTGCCTCTTTTCATCTCATAGTTCTGCCATGTTTGTACGTGGCTTTCAGCTTGGGTTCTAAGGTGGCTGGCTGGTTTGGGTCCTTCCATCCCATACACAGACTAGCCACCAAATAGAAGAGGTAAAGGGAAAAGACATAGATTCCCCCCTTTGAGGTCATGACCAAAAAGTTGCGTGTATCACTTCTCTTCACATCTTTAGAACGTGGTCATAGAGCTACATGCTGCTGTGTGGTAGATACGGCATAGAAAATGTGGTTTTTAGTTGGGGAGCACCGAGGGTAGGAAAGAGGCCATACGCCCAACTGAAAATACAACTACTCTGTGTTACGGAAGGAAAAAAGGAATCTTGGAGGATAGTTAGCAATCTCTGCCCCATCATTCTGTGAAGGTGAGTTTAATATGGTGGAAGGAAGGAGATACAGAATGCTTTTGGTGAAACTCTTCCTTATGGTTTCTCCTTTTTTAATTCGGGCTAGAAGATTTGGCCAAATCCAGATACTTCTGTTAAAATGATCCCCCTGCACGTTGAAGACACTCTTTTGTTTTGAGGTTTGGTTGGGTATCAGCCTATCATTTATGACACAGTGTCAGCTTGAACTCAACATTTTTACTGAAAAGAATGTGACAGCTCTGGTGTGGACATTTGGATTGGATGTTCACATTAGCAAAGTTTACCCTGGCAAAGTCTGGCATTTTCTTTTTTCAAAATATTTCCAGGAAAAAAAACAATTCCTTCTCATCAGAATACCATCTATTTTAATTGATTATTGAGGATAGAAAGATTAAAATTTCTAGGGTTGGAATGCATTCAAACCTTATTATTACAGAATTGCATCTTTTTCTTAGAGAACTGATGATGTCTAAGAGTCAGGAATTCTTGTTCCAACATCAGGACTTAACTATTATATGATGTAATCTTGACTAAAACCCCATTGGATTTTTGAACTTTTCTTGGTTAATATCTCAAAACAGAGTTTAGAAATAATCTATCTCATGATATGTATTTAGTTAATAATTATGAAGTCTTTAAAAAATATAGATGTCACTTTTTTATTGTTGGTTAGTAGAGATCACAGATAACCTTAACTCCTTTTTTAAGAATGAGCTTTACTCACAATCAGCTAGACCAGCCAGATACATGAATGTGAAGATACACTTAATATTTGCCAACATGTCACTTTATAGTGTTCTTCTAAAGGCTTTTTTTGATTGGAAGAGATTACTTGGGCTCTTGAGATTAGAAAGCTTAAGTAGTCTTGGTAGACTGGATATTTCTTATGATAACGTATGTCCTTTTCTGAGAATACATTTTGGGAGACATAGATTTCACCATAAATCCTTCATTATTTGAAGATGTCTGTGCTAGTATTACATTTCAGGCAAGACTAATTTTAGCCAAGTTCACTGAAACTATTCCCAGTGTTACCTCCAATAATTTCAGCTGATTCCTTTTTATGCACTCTTTACACAGCCAAATTATACGGAGTATATAAAATAAACTGCTGTCTGTAGAAGTGGTGAGTGGTTTCGTGATTCCCTTCTGTTCTGTGTGGGTGGATTTTCTTCACCTCTGTCTGTTGCCTGCATCCTCGGCCATCACGAATGTTTTCTTTTCTGTCTTGCAGATGACACGCTTGGTGCTGCCTGGCATGGTAGAAAGGTGAGTCACGGGCTCACACACAAACACTGTAGAGTCAGAGCTCATCATTATTTATAGGGAGAATCCTTTCTTTGAAAAATTCATTGAAGTGACTAATGAACCAAGCTTCCATGTCTTAGCCACAGAGTGATGTGCCAGGCGAGTCACACAGTGGAGCATGAGTCATCAGTGGTGGAGGCCTTTTCCACTTGATTCCCTTTTTATTTCCCTCTCTAGGGTTGTAGTGGTTCCTTTAGCTCAGGATTAAAAAGCCTGCCTGAGTCACCGTCACTAACTCAATTGCCTTCTATTCTAAGGGGGCAGATAGAGTTCTAGGGATATTCCCAGGAATGCCCTCTTAAAGCTATATCCTCTCAGAGCCAAAGTCAGTGGAGTTTCATGAACAAGACCTCATGCTCTCATTTTCAGCTTTTATTGGGAGAATGATGTATGAGGAACTTAGGCACGTTATCAGGAGATTGTCAGATATCAAATTTATCCTTGGAGGAAAAGATGGATGCCTATCCCCTGGTCCCATCTGTTTCCAGTTTGAAATGGGTCCTATTAGGAAATATAGGATGGTTTTGTTTTTATTAAGAAATATGTTGTAAGTTTCTATTTATTTGAAATAATGTGAAGTGTCAAATTGTAATTAAGGGTGGGAGCAGTGACTCATGCCTGTAACCTTAACACTCTGGGAGGTCAAGATGGGTAGATCACCTGAGTTCAGGAGTTCGAAACCAGTTTGAGCAAGAGCAAGACCCCATCTCTACTATAAATAGAAAAACTATCCGGTGTTGTAGTGGGTGCCTGTAGGCCCAACTACTTGGGAAGCTGAGGCAAAAGGATCACATGAGTCCAGGAGTTTGAGGTTGCTGTGAGCTATAATGCCAGGACACTCTACCCAGGACGTCAGAGTGAGAGAGTCTCAAAAATAGATAGATAGATAGATAGATAGATAAAAGTAAAATTGTCATTAAGCTCTGTTTCTTCCTCGAGAAAATCTGAATGATATTTAGGACTTCAAAGAAAATTTGCTGAAAGAGTTGGGCTCGGGCTTGCTTCTTGAACTATCTTGATCATTTGCCAAATTTAGAGTTTCATAGTCATCTTTCCTCTGCAAAATAGCTTTGGGTTTAGAAGAGAATCAAAGGAATCACACTTTTAAAAAGGGAAGACCTCAGGGCCCTATTTTTGTTAAGAAACCTCTATAAGCAGCTCTAGGCAGGGGCTACAGCTAACGTTTATTTAATATGTACTGTGTGCCAGGAATTTAGTATATGTTAAGTTATTTAACTTTTGTCACCTTCCACCATTGTACAGATGAGGAAACCAAGGTTAGGAATCCGTTTGTTAAGCAGCTACAGAGACCAACTAAGAAACTCTTTCTTGGCGAGGTTCTTTGTAACTCTGTTTTATATGTACTACTTTGTATATTTTAATTGCTTTATTTTAATAACATTGTCCTTTAAAACCTTTCAACTACTTGATGTTTGTTGATGGTGGGAGTAGGTACCTGACCGATGGTCAGATATAGAAATGGCAGTGGTCAAACCAGAACCTGAGAAGATAATAGAGCTGGGGCAGAGTAGAACCCAATAGGGCTGAAGTTTGGGCCATCATCTTACTTCTGGTCTTGACAACTACAGGTGACATGGTATTAATTCAGGATAGTTAGGGCCATCCATTATAACAGAAATACTCACAAACTGCAGGGGAAAAAAGGGAATTTTTAATTATATTTTTAAAAACCATATCAAAAAGATAATTGTGAAATCATTTTGCAGAGTGTAAAGAATTGAAAGAGCCATAGAAATCTGGCACTTTAAATTAATTGAAAGTGCCCCTCCTTATTTGACAAATGAAAACACAGAGGCCCAAAGAGATAGAGTGCTGTGAAGCTACTCAGTTAGTAAGGTACAGATGGAAGGAGCCAGAGATACGCGGCTATCTCTGTCAGCCTGGCAGCCATTATCACAGCAAGGGCATAAGATACAAACGAGGCCAAGAGGAGAATCCATCTATTCAACAGACATTCACTGAGTAAAGCTTATCATGGAGTATACAGAGGATGGATCGGATCCTTACCTTTTAAGAAAACAAGTTGATTTTAAACTGTGCTTGAGAAATGATCTGGTGGAAAGCCATCAGAAGCTACCGACCAAAGCTGGTGTCATGGGGCAGGGGGAGTTTGTGGTACTTGCTAAGAACAAGTAAGAAATGTTCATGGATTTTATGAATAAGTTCTCTTGGTTCAGAGAAGGAACATTCATGTCCTCTTGAATTAAAGGAGTTAAATGTATATTATTCAAGGTAGGCTAACTGCTGTAACAGATTACTCCCAAACCTCAGTGGCCATGTACCTTTATTTACAAAATGTTTATTACAAAATTTTACAAAATATTCTCTATGCGTTTGCCACCTCCTTGTAAAATTTTGTAATGAACATGTTGTAAGTAAAGGTACATTGAGCTACAGTTGCCTGTTTTCCCTGTGTGTGGCAGCTTTATGGCAACTTTGGAGGCACTCTGTATACAGAGGTTTATTCCCTCACATTTCTACCTAGTCATTCAGGGATCCGAGGCTGCTGCCATCTAGGGGCTCCATCATTCTCTGGCTCTCGGCCTTCTCCTCTGCATTCAGCTAGCAGATGAGGGAAGAAAGAGGAAGGGTGGTTTTAGGGGAAGTTTCATGGGCCAGCCCTGGAAGTGCTGTAGGTCACTTCTGCCCACATTTCATTGCCCTTGGAGTTATAGCCTCAGTCACAGGCTACAGCTAATTGCCAGGGAGGTTAGAAACATTAGCTGTACCCAATAGGAAAGGTACCTCCCAAGTTAACAGATTAAAAGCATTCTTAGTTACGCGTTATAAGCAGTTTCATTAGAGCCTACTGCCCCAAAATGGCATATTTCCTGTGGTTGGTTCCCCTAGGATTGGTACCTCAACTGAGTAACAGCAGAGCCCTTTATAAATATCCTTTGTTGTTGTTGTTTTCCTTTCCCTGGCTCTACTTCTGATGTATGAGATTTTCCAAACCCTGTAGAACTATAGCCTAAGGCCAACTGACTATCTCTAAACAAGTCTCTATAATCAAACTAAGGTATTATTACCATAGAAGTAGAAAGTGCATAATTACATTATAGAGGAAACTTGCTCTTTTCACTTCCCTGGAATTATAAACATTGTGTACAGCTGGAGCCAGGAGGTGGTTGCCATAACAACCGTGGAAAAGCTAAAAATAGCCTCTTTCATACTGTATTGCTTAAGGTGGAATTATGACATGTTATGGTGTTTCAGGGCAGGTAATTCTCTTTCATGTACTAAATGTTTGCAAACTTTCTTCAACAAAGCAATATTTGTGTAAGAATTTGAATTGCTGATTCTAATTATATACCTAACCCCTGTGTTCCAGGATCCTTTTCTGACATAGAAATCTATTTTGATATATTTCTCAGTCTTCTGGAGAGTCTGTTAGAGAACTGTCTGTACAATTTCAGTATTATATTTAAGCTTAAAAATAAAAAAAAGGATTGACCCTCCAAGAGCATGCTTATGCATTGCCGGACATGAAGTGGAAATCAGTAAAGAATTGAGGTAGAGTCTTTCTTGCACATTCTCCCTTGCCCGCCACAGTTAGCTGTCCACACTGAGGTTGACCCTGGGGTTCCATGTCCTCACAGCAGCGTTTACGCCTCCTCCCTCTCTCTTCCCACCTGCAGCGTGGGGTAGTGCTGAGGTTCCTGAGGAAGGCAGAAATCAGTGACTTATTGCAAAGGAGAACTATCACCTTCTCTGTGGACGAGGGTATTGCAAGAGTCTGATATAATAGTGGAGCATTTATAAAATAAAGTCTGCACATTTTTTTTTAAATCCAGGTGACAATTAGGAAAAGTCTTACTGAGAATTTCACAGGTCTGAGGAATTTTATCAGAGAGCACAGCTACAGGAAGCTATAAATGTAAGGCATCGAATTTTATAGAATTGGGTGAGTTTAATGTTTGGCTTGTCAGGAGACTAGTCAGTACAGATAATTCATTTATATGAAAAACTGCCTTCTTATCAGCAGTTGGTGTTTTCTGCTTTGCTTTTCGCAGTATTTAAATCTTAATAGAACCTCAGTACTTTGTACCACTGAGACACCATTGCATGCTGTTAACAAGTAAGCAGTGTGAGGAATTAGGAATATACTGCTTATTTATTTGGATATTTGTCATAACAAACTAGGAAATAGCTGAAGTGAGAGCAACTGAGTCTTCAGCAAAAATTCTTCATATACTCTCCAATCTTAGAATTGTTCCCAAGTCCCCAGAAACAGAGAGATTAACCCAGGTTTGGTTTTATGTTTGTTTCTGAGTGCAATTAAGCGCAGACCATTTTGTCCTTCTGCTTGATATAACAGAGTTGTCATGAGTCTGGCTGTGCCATGGAAACTGGTTTGACGTCACTAATTCTGCTTAGATGGAGGATTAGAGCTACACAATGTGGTTGATTTTTAAAGGCAAGTCCTTTGTGCCTCACAGCCCTGCATGTTTAGACCCAATTCTACATAAAGAGTAGATACTGTATGCAGTACCAGAACTACGGCAGTTTACATTAGTGTGCCATTTATGATTCAGACAAAGCTAAGTTGAATATTATTATCCTTGGAAAGAAAGAGTGAGAGAATTTTATGCTGGTGTGTGTGTGGATGTGGGGGAAGGTTTTGCTTGACAAATACGTGTGCTTCGTGGGAGGACAGGTTTGTAGAGGGGCTGTTCTCCATCATTCTGGGACAGCTGGAAATGCTGTTCTTTCATTTACCTAGGTCTAGTACATTCTTATGCTATCCTTTGATAGTCTTAGATGTTTTAATGTATTTTAGAGTGCAAATGCTGTGTTTTGTATAAAGTGCCCTGAAATCCTGACTTTTCACTACTTCTAAGTAGCTCTTCCCCCCTAGAAATCAGGGTGGGTAGAACACTTGAGAAACAAGGATCTCAGTTGTCTCGAGGAGCAAACAAGTAAAGGTGCAGGACTGTGTTCAAGTGCGACATAGTGGATTGTTGTGTATTATTTTTGAAAATGGGAAAGAAACCTCTATTGTCTTTAAATGACTTTTCCTGTGTTGATGTCATTGCTTTGGTGAGTGAAGTGTTAAGATTCTGTTTCGATGAGGTCAAGATTTAATTTTTAAATGTATTTGATAGCATTAAACTTTAACTTTTCAAGACTTTTAAAGTGCATTCCACTTGTGAGGAATAAAATAAAAAATGTAAGATTTTAGTTCCAGGGCACATACAACCACCCCAGCTAATCTGAGTATAATGGAGCATAAAGTCCAGCTGATAAAACCAGGCCTGGCAGGCTGTAGGTTCAATGAGAAGCATCACCTTCTAGAAGCATCTACTTCAAACTGGCTTGTTCTTCACTTGATCTCAGCAAGTGAAGACATAGCAATTCCTGGTTATGTGAGAATGGATTAAAATAAAACACTGCCCACACCTCCAAGGATGCTTGGGTTAACTTGTTAGGATTTGGGGTTACTTCCCAGAAAGTGTGTTGTGTTGCATAAGATACAATAGCTCTCTCGGCTTCCACTTGGGGGATCTGCTGCCAGTGCAAAGGTGATACATTCCAAAATACTGTAAACGTATTTCTCTTGCACTTTGCACAGACTTACTGAGATATATTTCACATACCATAAAATCTGTTCCTTTGAAGTGTATGCATTAGTGGTTTTTAGTATATTTACACAGCTATGGGTCTCCAAAGTATAATTTTAGAACATATTCAGCACCCCAAAAAGATTAAGGTACTGAATCTGAATTAATATGGTATTAAAAGTCTTCTATAACAAAAGTGGATTTTATCGAAGAAATTGCTCACAGATTTAGATAAAATGAAATGACTAGATATTCATTGCTAATTCACCAGTTGTTTTCTTAGCAAGGTTAAGTTCTAATTCCTGATACAAGCTCTTATTTTAAAAAAGAAAAGCCTTTTCTTTTTTCTGAGAGAGACACAAAAAATACAAGAATTTTGATCTATTGGCTACTATTTCCAACTTTCTTCATAACCCTAATAACATTTTTAAATTTTAAGTATGATTTCTATCACAAAAATGTTAATGCCTTTCATTGCCTAGGAAAGTATGTATTACTAATAAAGACTTTTGCTTAAAAAAAAAAAAAGACCCCCAAACAACAACTTGTTTCCAGTGACACACATTAAGCTGAGGATCCAGACTTCCCTTTGATGGTTGAAGTGGCATCTCGCCTGGAGGCTGGCAGATGGAACGGGTGACCTTTGGGGATTATTTCTTTTCAGATTTATGTCTAAAATAACTTAAATGCCTTTTAATCAGGTTTCCTTTCTTATTTTGCATAAAAGGGGCCTATACACTCTAGTTCCTTTTTTAATGCTAAAAAATATAGGCCTTGGGGGAGTAAATTCAGACACAGAACAATGAGCAGTCGGGATGGAGGCAAGTGGGTGGATGGGTCAGTCTCGCAGTAGCTGCAGAATGGGAGCCCTCTGAGAAGAGGGTTGGTGGTTCTGACATTCTGAGACGATAATCCCACACTTTACCTAACCTGTATATGCTTACTAACAGCTGATACATCGATAGCATTTCTTTTCTCAATCCAGTATTCATTTACTTGTACAATTAGTAATTCCTGGTAACTTTCTGGCTTTTCACTTTCATTGTCTCTAAAAATTACAGTAGAAACTGGCAAAAATATACAATTGGATGATCTATAGAGTTGCACAGTTTTAGAGTCAATTCTTTGTTTGGTGTCCAGATGTCTATAGCTCAGAGAAGGTAGGAGGGCTGGCGGTAGCCATTCACTGATTGCTACAAGGTTTTATTGAGCGTCTATTCGCTACATGCTCAGTCCAGAGTGTTTGCAGTTAGTTATGTCCAGAAACTTTTGGTTTTGTTGCGGGGGGGTGGTATGTTTATACACATAGAAGGATTAAATGCTATAGGAAGGTAATCGATGATGAGAAGAGAAACATAAAGGGGCATACAAGGAATATAACAGTCTCTCTAAGTGAAAGGACCAGAAAAGGCCTCAGAGGGGAGCGATCGAATTGAGGAGACTGGAAATCTCATCTAGTCATGGCCTGGATTTCAAGACTGGGACATGAGCTAATCGTAAAGAGCTATTTTTAGTTGATTGAATTATGCCTCATTCACTGACCGAGCAGATCACACACTGATGAAAGGCAGGGAGAGACTTGTGTTAGAAAAATAGCCATGTTATTCTGTTTCAAATAATTATACTGTATATCTCAGTCTCTAATTCACAAACCGTGTATAAGTTTTCAGTCCTTTTACTCAATACATTTCCCTTTTAGATCCAAAGGGGCAATTCTGAATATCTCATCTGCCTCTGGCATGTTACCAGTTCCACTGCTGACCATCTACTCTGCAACCAAGGTGAGCAAAGTTCTAGTAAATCCTGTCCATGTAAGGATGCGGAATCCTTTTCAGTTTGAGAAATTAACGTGGATTTCACTTTCTGGAAGTTATACTCTTGGCAGTTTTCCAGTGGCCTGAGACAAGAGGAAAATACCCCACACAGGTTCCAGGAAAACCAGAGCTGGAGACATACTGATAGGTGTAAACTTACAAACGGGGCCCCAGGATATCAGATCCACGGGTGCTGTTTTATTCCCAGTAGATTACTGATTTTAGAAGAGGTACTTGTGCTGTCCACAGAGAACTGACCTAGACCAGTTAGCTCATTCGTTTAGACCATGATGTGATGACTCAGGTTAGAAATCTGATACATGAATGGGTCCAGTTCACCCAGCATAGAACTAAGTCAGTTCATAAATGTACATAGCAGGCACAGAATAGACTAGGTGAGAGTATAAATATTTTGCCACATTATCCAGAATTCATAGATATTCATTGTTGCCTCTGGGATGAGATGAGACTCTTCCAGAACTCTTGGTAAGATGTCATCATTTCATACAGCATCATCATTCATCTCCACGTGACTACTAGGGAAATAATTTAGAATACAACTGCTCCTGCCTGCTGGTCCGCAGGACCATCTGCAGATACACTGTTGACGTATGGAATATATGGCTGAAGGAAAAATGACCATGCAGATGTTTATTTACATTAAGCAAGCTTTTAGGGAAAAATCAAAAATACATGTACAATAACAACATGTAATTGTAATGGAAGGAAAATGCCTATCTTCTTTTTTACTTGAAAAGACAGTACTATCTTTTGAAAAAGCTTAGCACCACCCCCCAAGTTCTGCAGTCTACTTGCTTTCTGTGTCTGTGGAACATATTCTAGGCATGTTTAAAAAGGATGCCATGTTTTCTTACAGGGATTGGTGAATTCCCAGTTTCTTGTCTGTTGTGCTCCATGAACACACAGTTATTACCAATCTACAGTCATTGTTGATAATTTGCATTTCAAGTCTAAGGTTGAGTCCACATTTGAAAAATGGCACACTGTGTTCTCCTGTGTTATCAGAAGAAGATGGGCTGTCACATTCATCTCTACACTTCCCGAATCCTGCTGTCCCCAGACACCAAGAGAAGGCTTGCTGTTTTCTTTTTAGCAACAACAAAATCCCCATGGAACAGAGTTAAACAGAAGTCATATATCTGTTTGAGTGGAAGTAGAGAGAAGAAATAAACCCTTTATTATATAAGATAAATTTTTTTTCCCCTTGGAAAATAATTTTCTGGTTTGAAAAAATGGATAAAAAGCAGCTTCTCCAGTTAAATCAAAACTTGGTCTGAATATTCTATTTGGTCTGTTGGTGTAAATGGGAAGGTTAAGAAAGCGAATATTATATTTGGTCATATAATGCTTCCTCTACTGCTAGAGAAAAACAATTTGAGATGTTGAGGTGTTTTTTAAGGTCTCTTCTGCAGGTGAAATAAAAAAAATGATTAGAAAGGGTAGCATTAAATGGTTAGTTTATTATTTTCTTGTTTCCATGGCTACAACTCAAGCAGACTGATGTAATGTGCATGTTTTCTTGTCACTCCCACCACCCGCCCAGGCTTTTGTAGACTTCTTCTCTCGGTGCCTTCATGAGGAGTATGGGAGCAAGGGCATCTTTGTGCAGGTGAGTGGGGTTTGTTTCAGTTAAGTGTCCCTGTTTTTGTGTGGTCTCCAGAGCAACTGTTGCTGTCTTGGCAACGAAAAAAAATCACCTTTCTCAGTAAGTGAAGGTGACGTGAGCACATCATTAAAGACATGGTTTCTTTTTCTTTTATGCCCTTAAGTCTAGATTTTAAAAAATTATTCTCCGGAGTTTTAAATGGGGATACCTAAAGTAGAACTAAATATAGTATAAATAACCGAGGCATAATTATTTTAAGTCCTTAGGCTTTTATTTCAAGAAACTGAGACCATCAATATCTTTTTTTAATTATAATAAAATATACATAACTAAAATCTACCATTTTAGTTACTTTCCAGCATAGTTCAGGGATGTTAAGTATATTCACAGTGTTGTGTACCCATTGCCACTGTCCATCTCCAGAACTAGTCTCATCTTCCAAAAGTGAAACTCTGTACCCATTAAACACCACTAACTCCCCATTTCCTCCTCCCTCTAGTCCCTGGCAACTGCTGTTCTATTTTGCTATGAATTTGATTACTCTTAGTACCCCCAGTGAGTGGAAGCACACAGTATTTGACCTTTTACTTCACATGTCTTCAAGGTTCATCCATATTGAAGCATGTCAGAATTTTCTTCCTTTTTACAGCCACATAAAATTCTACTGAGTGGAATTTATATATATGGGTGGACACAAAGTTCATGAGCAATTTACCGTGTTAAACTATTTTAAGTTGCACACAAACTCTATGGCCACCCTGTAGCCACCACCTTCCCCTCCCCTGTGTTCAGGCCAAGTGGACGCCGTGGAGTCCAGTAGGTGCTCTGCTCTGCGCTGTACAGATCCACGACTGGCTCTTCTGCTGGCGTCTCTTTCCTCAGCTTCTCTGCAAATCTACTCACTGAGTTTCCTCCCAGCCCTGTTTGCACCTGAGCCTTATGACTCCTGTCCATCTTTCAAAGCTCAGGCCACCATTCACTTGCCCTGGGAAACATTCTCTCAGCCCCTCGGCACGTTGGGGCATGCCTTTCCTTCTGCTCTCCTTAGAGCTTATTATATCTCTGCCTGCCACTCTCTGGCCATTCCTTCTTTCCCCTTCCTCCACGTATTCTTGAGAATAGGCCATTAATCTTGTTTGTCTTGGTGTTGCTAATGGCACAGGTCATTCAGAGTATACTGGAGACCTGCATTTTGCACGGCCTCACCGAATTTCTGGTGGTGCATGGTCATGCTGTGCAGTATTTAGGGTTTTTGAGCTGCTTCTGTTGCTCCCGTGTACTCCTGGTCTTCAGTTCTCAACTTCTCTATCTGAATGGCTTCTAGACTAATGCTGTGTAGCCAAATTTAATCTTTTTTTATAATCTCTGGAAGGAAAGCTATCTCTTTAAGTTTACCTCCGTGCACATGTACATCAGATCGTTCTTTTCAGGGAGGAAAAGAGTATGTTTTTCAAGTTTTCGATTGTTTTGTATTATTAATATTTTTCCTTCCCTTTCTCTACTTATCTTTCCCTCAACTTTTTTATTTTTAACTTTATAAGAGCATTTAAAAATTTCCTTTAAGCTGGACACGGTAGCTCATGATTGTAATCCTAATACTTTGGGAGGCTGAGGCAGGTGGATTGATTGCCTGAGCTCACAGGTTCAAGATCAGCCTGAACCAGAGAGAGACCCCCTCGTCTAAAAATAACTGATTGGGCTCAGTGCCTGTAGCTCAGGTGGCTAGGGCGCCAGCCACACACACAAGAGCTGATGGGTTCAAATCTAGCCTGGGCCTGCCAAACAACAATGACAACTGCAACCAAAAAATAGCCAGGGATAGTGGCAGGCCGCTGTAGTCCCAGCTACTTGGGAGACTGAGGCAAGAGAATCACTGAAGCCCCAGAGTTGGAGGTTGCTGTGAGCTGTGACTCTATGGCATTCTACACAGGGTGACAGCTTGAGACTCTGTCTCAAAAAAAAGAAATAATTACCAAAAAAAAAAAAAAAAAGCTAGGTATCGTGGCTGGCACCTGTAGTCCCAGCTACTTGGGAGGCTGAGGCAAAAGAATCACCTGAGCCCAGGAGTTAGAGGTTGCTGTGAGCTATGACGCCATGGCACTCTATCAAAGGTGATAGAGTTAGACTCTGTTTCAAAAAAAATTTATTTTTCTTTAAGAATTCAGATTTGGGCTTGGCGCCTGTGGCTCAAGTGGCTAAGGCGCAGCCACATACACCTAAGGTGGCGGGTTCAAATCTAGCCCAGGCCCACCAAACAACGATGACGGCTGCAACCAAAAAATAGCCGGGCGTGGTGGTGGGCGCCTGTGGTCCTAGCTACTTGGGAAGCTAAGGCAGGAGACTCGCTTGAGCCCAGGAGTTGGAGGTTGCTGTGAGCTGTGATGCCATGGTACTCTACCCAGGGGGACAGCTTGAGACTCTGTCTCAAAAAAAAAAAAAAAAGAATTCAGATTTGGCAGCTCAGTGCCTATAGTACAATGGTTATAGTGCCAGTCACATACACTGAGACTGTGGGATTTGAGCCCCAACTGGGCTAGCTAAAACAACAACAACAATGACAACTGCAGCGGAAAATAGCCGGGTGTTGTGGCAGGCACCTGTAGTCCCAGCTACTTGGAAGACTGAGGCAAGAGAATTACTTAAGCCCAAGAGTTTGAGGTTGCTGTGAGCTGTGACACCATGACACTATACCAAGGTCGACTTACTGCCACTCTGTCTCAAAAAAAAAAAAAAAAGCAGTTTGCCAATATATAATCATTTCCTGTAAATGCAAACAAATGGTAGCAATAAGTTGATATAAATGCCCTGGGGGGTGATTTCGGGCCTGATAGGCTCTGTCTATTGATTTTGAACAGAGGATAAGAAGCACATTCTCCAGCAAACCTAGTGTGTTCTGTTGATGAGGACTATTTATTCTCATTATTACTTTATAATTAAAGTCTAGTCAAAGAAAACTATGCTTAAATCATTCAAAGAGCAACTCCACGGTAATCTGACCAGCTGGGTAGTGGGCCCTACTCCCAGGCTGCTTCTGTCTGTCCTGTAGTCATTAATGATTAACACTGAGGGCTCGGCGCCTATGGCTCAAGTGGCTAAGGTGCCAGCCACATACACCTGAGGTGGCGGTCCGAATCCAGCCCGGGCCCACCAAACAAAAATGATGGCTGCAACCAAAAGCAAAAGTAGCCAGGCGTTGTGGTGGACACCTGTGGTCCCAGCTACTTGGGAGGCTGAGGCAGGAGACTTGCTTCCGCCCAGGAGTTGGAGGTTGCTGTGAGCTGTGATGCCAGGGCACTCTACCCAGGGGGACAACTTGAGGCTCTGTCTCAAAAAAAAAATGATTAGCACTGAGCAAGTAGGAAGTGGCTAAGACTAAATCTTAAAACCATACCTCTTGAACTCTTATTCTATAAAACACTCATAAGCTTTCGTGATTTAAAAAAACATTTTATTTAGAAATAATTTCAAATGTTTGGAAAGTGACAAGAATAAAATCTTACAGAGCACTCTAATAGCCTTTCCTCTTAGGTTCATTTATTGTTAGCATTTTACCATATTTGTCTTATATTGGGGAAAAAGTTACACATTTTATGGTCCTTTACCGCTAAACACTTGGGTGTCTATTTCCGAATAATAAGGATGTTCTCACATATAACCACAATACAGTCACCAACTCAGATTTAACATTGATAGAATATTTTTATCTAATGTCTGGTCTGTGCCTGATTTTTGACCCCATAATAGTCTTTATAGAATTTTTGGCCCTCCAGTTACAAATTCAACTTAGAATTAGGTGTTATATTGAGTTGTTCGGCTTTTTTGTTTCCTTTAATCTGGAATATAGCCACAGCCTTTCTTTGGCTTTTATGACATTGACATTTTTGAAGAGCACAGTGCTCCTCCCTGGATCTTTTCATTACACATTCCTCATGTGGGGTTTAATCTGCTGCTGCTTCATGGTGAGATTCAAGTTTTGTTTTCCTGGCCAAAATATCACATACATGACGTCTTGTCCTTCTCTGGGCATTGCGTCAGGAGACACAGATCCATCCGCCCCTCATTGGTGGTGGTGATTCTGGCGCTCAGGTTGAGGTGTTACCGGGTTTCTCTGCTGTGCAGTTAATTCTTGTTTTCTCTCCGCTAATAAGCAGTCTGTGGGGCAACACTAAAACCACCCAGACGCCCTGCTCCCATCATAATTTCTCCTACGTTTAGCCTCTAATGGTGTTTCCTCATAAACCTGCCTTTTAAAGAGGTTTTCATTGCCAAAGAATTCATGAAGCCCTGCCTGGATAGTCAGTCTTTTCAAAGCAAAAAGTTGCAGCTACAACATGATCAGTTTTCCCATTCAAGGCTGTGGATTAGGCAGACCCCACTGGTTACCGTGTACATAGAGGCCGTGAGGAAAGGACACTGAGCTTGAGGTCAGCAGACCGAGATTGGAGCGCTGCTGGCACCATTCAGTTACCATGTCAAGTACAGAGAGCTGCTTTATTACTTTGAGCCTTAGTCTCCTCTTCTGGCCAGTGGGATAAATGATGTGGCATATGTAGGCATGCTCAAACTGGGAAATGATGTGTAACGTGAAGAAGAGAGGGAAGAAACTTATATTTATTGGATGGTTATGATATGCCTCACATTTTCACCTAGGTTGTTATCTTATTTGACATCAGCGTTAACCTAGTCCCATTTTACAAACGGGAGGGTAAGGATCCAGAGGGGTGGTAATTTGCCTAAGGTCAGTTCAGTTTACTAAACAGTGGCTCACTCTTTGCCAGGTCCTTAGCTAGGCGGTGAGGAAACAAAAGCCAGTAAAACACAGGCCAGGGGGCAGCTCCGGCCTGTAATTCTAGCACTCTGGGAGGCCGAGGTGAGAGGATCCCTTAAGCTCAGGAGTTGGAGAGCAGCCTGAGCAAGAGTGATACCTCATTTCTACTAAAAACAGAAGAATTAGCTAGGCATTGCGGAAGATGCCTATAGTTTCAGCCTCTGCTAAGGCAGAA